GGTTCTCAATGGGAGAAGTAGCATMCCTGCCATACCAGAGTGTAATGGGCGCATAACCTGTAGTCCATTTGACAGTCACATTGTCAGCATAGACAGCCGCCCTCAAGAAAGATGGCCAGTTCCTGGAGTCACCTTGGCACCATTTTAATATAGCATCTTTTAGTGTCCTGTGGCCTCTTTCATCTGATGCATTAGCCTGAGGATGATAAGGTGTCACTAATCTGATCCTGACTCCAAGTCTGAACATGAGCTTTCTGACCATCTCATTCTTGAATTCTGATCCCTGATCAGCCACGAACTCACGTATGAAGAGGTACCTCAGATAGATTTCCTCGATCCAATCTGCCACTGCCTTTGCGGTTTTCTTACGGATGGTTTTTGCTTCAACATAACCAGACATATTATCTCTCATATTTAGTACATATTTCATTTCATCCTTACCAGGTGGCATAGTGACTAGATCAAGGTGAACAGTACTGCCATGTTCAACAAGAACAGTGGGGTATAAGGGTTCAATCAATCTCATAGATGACCTTTTCTGACAGGCTTCACACGACTTACAATATCTCATAACTATATCCCTCAGGCCATCCCAGTGATATAGTAGGGATACTTTATAGTATGTAGCATCAACACCCCTATGACCCCCTGCTAGACCCTCATGCAGTGCGGCGATCACCTCTAGTTGCCTTTCCTTACCACACACTACTCTCAGTGGTGGTAGTCCTTCCTTAGTATCCACAAAAAAGTGACCTCTACGCAACCTAAAGGTTCTCTTTGTCTTCTTATGGTAGAATTCGTCCAACTGATTACTGCTTATTACCATACCAATCCTCTTATATTCCCCATCATACTCATCCTTCCTAAATCTCCCCTCAGCGTCCTTATCTTGCTCCTGGTCATCCGGCTCTTCCTCTATCTCATTAAGTCTTCGCTCAGCCATCCTTGAACTCTCTGCCAGCTCATGAGCTGCAATAGCGGCTTATTCTACCATCCCATACCATCCTTCCTCCTCATCCTCTTGAGTTAGGAGGTAGTGGAGGTAAGGGTCTTCCTTTTCTCCCCAGCAGTCTTCCCTGCTCGTTGCTATGGCTGAGGCTGTATAACAATTGGGAGCTGGAGATAGTCCTTCATCATCGTCTTCCATAAAAAATTTGTTAACGAAGGGTGCCTCCTCAAGCGATTCATCATCTATTGATCCCCATTCTACGCGGCTCAGCCCATCGGCTCGATTCTTTTCAGTAGATACCTTTTCCAACACAAAATCATACGTCCATATGTGTGTTATTCACCTACTAACTGTAGCATCTACTTGTTGATGCCTCTTAACAACTCCTATTACCGTCGTAGAATCCGTTCTTAGGATGAATCTCCGCCCCATAACATAGTGTCTAAACACCCTGAGATAGTGCAGGATTGTCAGGAGCTCCTTCCTAAACTGAATATAACCTCTTTCAACCGAATTAAGGGTGCGACTCTCAAATCTAAGTGGCATTTCTTTACCATTCTCATCTCACGAGCACCCCTCCTAATGCTATCGGGTCGCCGTCAGCTTCGATGATGAAAGACCTCTCCCTTTCATCGTCGAAGTAGGGTACTTCTAATACGACCCCGCCATCTCTTAACTTATCTTGAAGTGTCCATGCAGCCTTCTCTCTTTGGTCAGACCACTCTAAACTAGCTCCTTGTCGCACCATCTCTCTAAGAGGCTCGACTATCTTGGCAAACCCGGGGATGAAAATCCGCCAGAAGCTGCAGACCCCTAGGAAGCTCCTTACTTCCCCAACCATTTTAAGAGGCATAGGCCAGTTCAGGAGTTTATTCACCTTCTTCGGATCGGGGTTCCTTCCTTCCAAAAAGCACCTAAAACTTAAGATCGTTACCTCTCTTTGGAATAGTAGTGATTTCGGTCCGCTAGCCGTTAGATTGTACTTAGCCAGCCTTTCTAGTATTTTCGCCCTCCCTGCGCATGTTCCCATACAAACCGCCTGACTCGACCATCCACTAAAGTCTCGTCTTTTTCCTTCGGTCCTTTAACTGGATTGTCGTCAATGTATGGAAACGTAACCTCTGAGCATATGTCCTCCATGACCTTCAACATGTCTCGTTGGACGACCGCGACCTCACTCGTCCACCCTTGAGGCACCACACACATTTGTATGAGGCCTCTAGGTGTATGCATGGCGGTCATAGGTCGACTAGTAGGATCTATCGGGAATTGGTCATAGCCAGAGTACAAGTCTATTAGGGAATAGGTGCTCCTTCCGGCAAAAGACTCGGCCAACAGATCCGCGTTGGGTAAACTACCTGCATCGCGAACCGTTACCGAATTCAACTTTTGCAAGTTTTGTATCCAGCGCAGGCCACCACCTGGCTTCCAAAAGCAAAACCAGTGATTGGCGTGAGCTCCATCAGCTGGTTCCGCAACATTGGAGGCGATCTTCTGGTTAATATACTCCATTACCTCTTTTTCTTCCTTTTGAGCATATTTTGTGGGTCTGTCATTCCAAGGAGTGTGAGGAACGCTCCATATCTTGACCATCTTGATCATGTCAACGTCCAGTCGTCCCCTCTCCTCATCATTAATGGAAACGGCACCACTGTACTTCTGACATAATTCATATATGAAATCCCTCTCAGCTGGCAGAAGGAAGTCATCGGTTCCTACCTTCATTATCTTGAACCTCTCTGGGGTAATTCTCCCTCCTTTTAATGCAGCCTCTCTTAATCTTTTAATTATCTTTCTTTCCTTCTCCAATGCCTCATTGTAATCCTTCTCTATCAGGACGGCCACCGGATTCTTCTTAACGCCCTTGCGCTTACACTTCTTCTTAGACCCGGTGACTATTTTCCTAAAAAAACCTAGTTGCAGAAAAGGTGAGTTGCATTGTCCCCGCTTTTGTCGCCCTCACAGCATCCTTGAATCCTTGAATCCTTTCATCTCTCTGTTATCGCCCAACTCCTTCTCTTTATCCAGGAGCTTGAGCATCTTTCCCATATCATTCACTCTAATCGTGGTCTTCTCGTCTATTATTTCACTTTCTTTCAGTTTTGTCCGTACTTCCTCAATCAGCTTGTCAGATTCTCCATGCTTAAGAGAGTTAACATGTCGCTGATGTCGAGGATGATGCCTATCACTTATCACAAAGGTTTGTTCTTGATCAGTGTTAGGATCCTGGAGAGAGAGTCAGGCCGCCCCATCATGGTCGAAGAACGCACAAGCCTCCATTCTATGTAGGAAAGGGACTCCGAGAATGCGGTCATGATCCAAGTTGGGGACCACAAAACTGAGGATCTCGGCCCGTAAAGTTTCAATCTGAATAGGCAAATCATCAATAAAACCTTCCAAAGGCAGGAATCCGACTATATTGGAAAGTTAATGATTGGCCTTCTTGTCTATCCCAAGCCCACATGACCTCATTGTGGCCGAGGATATGAGCACCATCTCGGCCCCAGAGTCCACTAGAGCTCTGACTTTTACGTCGTTTACGGAGATATTTAAGTATCTGCACGACATGTTGCCAAACCTCATCTTGGTACCAGGCGGGGCTCTTCCCACATGCTGAGGGAAGAGTCTTAGGCTATTGATCTCTACCTTTCGTCTCTCAACCATCTTCTTAAGCTCTTCCCTAAACTTGGGTACCAAGGCTACTGTTTTTTTCCAAGATAAGGTGACCTCAGTCTCCTCGATACTACTTCATCTATCGAGATCCCTTCCTCGGCTTCGGATCTCAAGACCACCTTCCTCTTTTTCCCGGCAGCATCCTTTCCTTTCCCTTCCTTCACTAGGTCTTTGGTCCCATCGATCAGTTGGTCTAGCTCTCTTTGAGCCTTCTCCCGCTTTTTCTCTTCGACCTCTTTTTGGCTGATATGGGATACATTCAGGTTTTAACTTCCAGGATTGTCGTCTCGAGCCACTATTTCCGGAGGTAGCATACCATCGAAGGTGATAACATTAACCCTAGCCTTCTTCTTTTTATCCTTGTTGGCCTTAACCTTTTCTAGGATTACCGCTCGCATCCCTCCCTTGTCTCATAATTCCACCTTGTTCCAATTGGCATCGCAGATGTGTCCATTGACATTCTTCTTGACAATTTTTTCTTTGAGTTTTTTTTCTAGTGTTAGGCACCGGGTTAGAGTATGGTCTTCCTCGTCACAATAATAACATCGGAAGGGGCCATCTCTCCTTTGTCAATCTCGGCTCTTATTATCTTTCTTCCAATCCCGGTCGTGCTTCTTCTTTTGTCTCTCATTTCTCCTTCGTCTAGCGTCTTCATCATCACTACTCTCACTTTCACTTTCACTCTCTTCCTTTTGCTTCTCCTTCTTTCTTTCTTCCTTACCTTCTTAGGCTCCGACAAGTGTTTGAGTCGCTAGGGCAGGAAAGGTTATCTTTTCGAAGCTACCAAGCGTAACGAGAAGACCAAGGATCTCCTCGGCCTTAAAGTTCCCTCCCGTAACTGCCTCAACATTTCTCTCTCTTCCACTAGTGATTGCTTTCATCTGTTCTAGAGACCATTTCCGGTTTGACACCGAAGGTAGCTCTCGGACCATCTCAACTACTTCATCCCATTTCAGAGGGTAATGGGCAGCGCGGCTTACCACACTCTCTTTTTCATCCTCTGCAAAATTTGTTAGCAGGACATGACACTTTTGAGCCTTATCTAGGAAGGGTACTCTCCGCGCAACCCGCTCAAAGTCTTCTAGAAACTGATCGAGGGTTGCCTACTTAGAACGTCGCACTTCCAACAAATTTGCATGGTCGTTGGGACGTCATACTTTGCGTATTCCTCCAGTATCTTTTGTCTAACCTCGACCCATGTTGTCAGCCCTTGTGTCGTCTTTGTCACCGACACCTTCATCTTTGGTTCAACATAGGCCAGTAGAGCCTTCAACTTTTGTTTGTCAGACCAACCGTGGCTCATACCAAAGACATCATAATCTTCCAAGAACTCCCTAACCTTGGTTCCATCAAAGCAGGGTATGTTCTCTGGAGGTACCTTGGCTCTCGGAAGATCTAACCGGACATTCATAGTGTTCATCCCGGTCTTCATGGCCTCTATCCTGTTCAACATTTCTTGTAGAACAGCGGCAGTGGTCACTTCTTCGTCCCCAGCGGAGGAACTAGCACCGTTCTGGCGTGCGTTCGGTCCTCTGACCATTTTGCCTAGCTTACTAGTTATGCTCCTACTTCTTCCTGAACTTTTTCTCTCCTAGGATTGCGTTTAAAATCGGTTCCCAGTTTCTGCCGTCAGTTAAGCTTTCCTGCAAAACTGACTCGGGAAACCTGTCAAATACAATCGGAGTTATGTTACTAACAACTCTTGCCTCTTTTCTTTCTAACTCTCTTTTTTCTTGATTAACTATATCACTAATCCAACTCTGAAAGGACTCGCGATCTGTCCCTCTCTCCCTCAATGAGGTGTCGAGGAACTTCACTATAAGAATGTATGTCTTTCTGCGGGCATGCCTCCCCTCCAAGGATACACAACGCTCTATCTTGTAGGGAAAAACTCCTCCACTGGTAAGAGGAACTAAGGCGTCTAGTATTGCCGTGACTGCCGGACAGTAACCAGACATTGCCTAATTCCTAACTGCTCTTAGTATCACTCTCAATCTTCCATATTCATCATAGACTTTGTGCTCGCCTTCTACTCCATAGACGCCGGTATGAATATAGAGTTCACCTTCGGCCTCGTCGATGCAAGACGCGCCTCTCCTGATTTCTACTACCTCTGTTACTGGATCTCGAACCCTCATACAAATCAAAGTCTCTAACAAGCATTGGTCCTCACGGCTCCAACCGCGAATGAGGGTTCTCACCTTCTCAGATTCTTGTCTTATCAGCTCCTTCTCTATCCCCTGTCTTACTAAGTTACCTTCAAATCAAAGTCCCTAACAAGCATTGATCCTCACGGCTCCAACCGCGAATGAGGGC